GGGCCAAAAAGTCAGGAGGGAAAAAAACACACTGACACAATGAATCGTCGATTCCCCCGAAAATATGGGAAACTATGGGACTTGGGCGGGAAGACGAAAACCCAGAAAATATGGGAAATATGGGGAACCATTTTATTTGTGTGTACTTATTCGTGTATCCCAGGGCCCCTTCAAAAAGGGAAGCTTGACGCGGTGCAGCACCGCGTCATTGCGTCGGACCGTCGGCAAAGGTGCGTGCGCGCTCCACCTGCACTCGCAGGTGCCATTCGAGGGGGAGCCTCCGTCAGAGGCTTCGGACCGGCTCGAGGGCGAGCGCACGCCGCCGCAGACGGGAGCCGCTTGCCACCGGCGGGAGGCAGTTGTGCAGGCCATCTGTCGTGCTATCGCAAGTGTGGCCTCGGGCTTGGATGCAGTCATCGGGAGAAGTTGGACATGGAAGTGTGCACTTTTCATACGGTGGCATCTGCGTGCACATCATAGCCAAGGCAACCCCATGCAGTGACGTCGGGCGCCACGCGCACGCCTAGCCGACGTGGGCGAAAGAGCTGGTCACAATTCTGCGACACTTGGCTCGCCTGGGTGGCTGCCCATCCGTGCTCGAACGACCTCGAGACTCTCCGACCCCTCACCCAATATGATTATGAATGGGTGGCGGATGTGTCTCAACATCTTCATAAAGTGGCACAAGTTTACACACCAGGCGAGTCCCGATTGCAGTCCCAACTGGTCTCGAAGGGTTTCTAAATGCCCCAGAACCTTCGGCGACGAGCACATCCGCGAGTCTCACGCGGTTTCGCCATCCCCGAAGTCGTCACTGTTGCTGTCGTCGTCGTCGTCGTCGTCGTCGTCGTCGTCGTCGTCGTCGTCGCCGTCGTCGTCGTCGTCGTCGTCGCCAACCGAACTCACAATCGTCGCCGTCGCCGTCGTCGCCGACCAAGCACGGCACTGTCGGAGGTTGGGGGGTGAGATCGCAGTGGAACGGAGAGCCCCCCACCATGAAATCGGTTTCGGTTTCGTCGCGCGTGGGGGCGAGGCGAAGCTGCGTGGGCACGCGAGAGGGATGATGCTGCCGCGGCTAGGGGCTGTGAAGCCGGCTGTCCGCCCCTCCACACCCCCTCCCCGGCGCGCGGTGTCCAGGGGTGTCCCGTTGGTGGCGCGTCGGTGTCCCGTGGGTGTCCCGTCGGTGTCGCCGCAGTGGCTAGGGGCTGTGAAGCCGGTTGTCCGCCACTCCCCTTCCCCCTTGGGCGCGCGGTGGCCGGGTCCCGTCGGTGGCACGTCGGTGTCCCGTGGGCGTCCCGTCGGTGACGCCGCCGTGGCTAGGGGCTGTGGGGCCAGTTGTCCGCCCCTCCCCCTCCCCCTCCCGGCGCGCGGTGGCCAGGGGTGTTCCGTCGGTGGCGCGTCGGTGTCCCGTCGGTGCTCCATGTCCTGGAGCAGGGCGGCGCGAGTCATTGTCCCGGAGCAAGACGGCGAGATCGTTAGTGAGATCGTTTGGGAGATCGACAGTGAGATCCGTTGTGAGATCGATAGTGAAATTTGTTGTGAGATCGATGGTTAGATCTTTTGTGAGATCTATAGTGGGATTAACAGTAAGATTAAGCGTGAGATCCATTGTGAGATCGATTGGGAGATTCACTGTGAGGTTGATAGTGAAAATTGTTGCGAGATTGATCGTGAGTCCGAATGTGAAATCGATGGTGAGTTGCATTGTCAGATCGAAGGTGAGATCGATTGGGAAATCGATAGTCAGAACTGTTGTGAGATCGATCGTCGCCAACCCGAGGGCGCATCACTGGCATCGTCCTCATCACAGCCACCTCTATTGCCATCAGTTGGTTCTTTCCCCCCAAACCTCCTTATCGACCGAAGGGTGGTCGTATAGGTACGGTACTGCAGAGTTTGCGCATCCTGAAGATCAAGCACTGCGCGGCGCGGCGCGGCGCGGCACCTCCCATTACCCGCAGTCTGAAAACCAACCACTGCACGGCACAGCGCATTTGCTGCATTCTCAAAACCCAGCGCGGCACGGCACGGCACGGCGCGCATGCGGCACATGTGTCGCAGCTTGTGTCCGAGAACCACGCTTCTTGATACAAGTGGCACCTCTCATGCTCTCGCTGGCCAGGGAAACGCGCAAGCATGCAATAAAGCAAGCCCGCAACAAACAGGCATGTAGCCACGCAGGATTTGGGACGGTGAAGACAGATAGTACCATTAGAACCATGATGAAGACGCGTCAAAGGAACACGGGCCCGACTAGAGCGCGGAGTCCATGTCCGTAAATATCTTCTCGGAGCGCAGGGAGGCATCATACGTAGCAGTTTTGATCACGCGGTGTTCCCCGATCTTGCGGGCTGACGCACCTCACCCCATTGTGGCAGGCATCTCGGTAACATGCTACCGGGAGGTGATGGCCGTGAAGCCCAAAGAGCAAGTTAGTTGATCATTCTTCGCAGCGCTAGTTTTACTAGTAGTTTGGCGAATGGTATCATCAGCATTAGTCCCCCACCGTCTCCTTCATCTACCCGACTCCTCATCCACCGTCCCCTGTTCCCTCTCGGTTTAACGCCGCGCAGAAGTACATTCAAAAGCTACAGTTGTAAGGATGGAGGGCAGATCGTTTTCAAAATTAGGCTCTCTCTTAAGATTGCGAATAATTCAACGATCCGTGATTTCTCATGAGATCATAGAGGCAACAGCTACACGGATTGAGGGCAATCGCTTCAGATTTTCGCAAATTCTACGACCAGGAATGATGAAACCATGCTACGCTCACTACCTAGAGGAAGGCATACCTTTGTCAAAACGGGGCGATGGCTGGACAGCACCTAGAACTTCATCAGTTAGGAGGGGTTGTCCACGTGGTCCGGGGGGGGGGGTCGGGGGATTGTTGGGGATACGTTGTTTTTCTTTTGAGCATCGCAGCTGTTTGCGTCATTTTTTTGATAAGTTGTTTTTCTTTTGCACATCGTAGCTATTTGCGTCGATTTGTTTTGCCATGTATGCTGAACTCTCGACTTCCCAAACGGAGTCTCGCCCGAGTGCCGGGCGCCCGTGCGCTCCCGATTCCAGGGGCCGTGCTCGCCGTGGACAGGAAGCTGAAGAGGCGCTTATGCGGAGAAGACTCGGCACGGGAGGGCGTATTGCAACTTCGTTGCTGCATCCTGGCTCTGCTCGGGTCCTCCTCTTCCTCCTCCTCCCGTACCCCTTCCCCCCGTCATGCCACTCCTCTTCCGTGCTCCCCCTTCCCCCTCCACCCTCGTCCGCCCAGCCCCTTCCCTCCCGTCCCCGTGACCTCTTCTTTCAGGTACGGCTGCCCGGAGTCGCCTGCGTGGGCGAGCGACCTCGAGAGGGAGATGATGGACATCCCGCAGGACGGGGCCGAGAGGGAGATGATGGACATCCCGCAGGACGGGGCCGAGAGGGAGATGATGGACATCCCGCAGGACGGGGCCGAGAGGGGCCGGGGGCGGTTCCCCCGCCATCGCGGTCTCAGTCCCATTGCCCCCATTGGCTTTCCCGGGTCGTCCACCTTGTCGGCCTCTTTCTAGGCCTCCCAGATAGGGTTGGAGTAGATGGGGTCCAAGGATCGCGCCGCATCGCCGATGCATCGGCGATGCGGCTCGACGCGGGGCCCAGATTTCTCCACGCCGACGTCGCCGATGCATCGCCGGCGTCGCCAGCGCATCGCCGATGCATCGGCGATGCATCGGCCATGGCATCGCCGATGTATCGGCGATGCGTCGCGCTCCTCCTCCTCCTCCTCCTCCTCCTCCTCCTCCTCCTCCCCCTCCTCCTCCTCCTCCTCCTCCTCCTCCTCCCCCTCCTCCTATCTGTTTCGACCCCATGTTGGGGGCCTCTGCTCTTGGCGAATGGGGACTGCGTGGCGAGAGTTTGAGCCTGCCCCGTCCATGGAGCCGGCGACTCCGAGGGCATCGCCGAGGGCAGCGTGCGTCGTCGTGTCACCCGTTTTGCCCAGGCGCCTCTGACGTGCACGGCGTCTCTCTCTCTCTCTCGCTCTGTCTGTTCCCTGGCCCCCCCTCGCGGGACAAAGGCAGGGCATGGGGTGGAGGAGGGCGAGGGGAGAGGGGGGGGGAGGCAAAACAGAGAACTGGGATGGGAAGGGACAGGGATCAGATTCACAGGGGCTGAATGTTTGCACGTGCGCCTTTGATCGGCGTTGGCATCACGGAGATAGTGTCGGCGTCGCGCCTTCGCATCTCGATGCCTTACCCTTCGCGGGCCCAGGATCGGCTCGTCGCTGGCTCCTGTGGCGACCTGCGCGTCCGCACATCCGCCCGCGGGGAAGCTCGCCCAATGCATTTCCATTGCCCTGCCACCCTCAAATCGACACACCTCCGCGCCCAGCACCCACAACGGAATTGTTTTAAGCTTGTTCGCTCTTATCCGCTCGCGTGTCGCTCAGCATGTATGTCCCAAACCCTGATGCCCGCCCTCTCTTCGTCTTCGATGGTGCCCCCTTGGGGGGTAATCTTCCTTGCCTGCGACGAGTAGCTGGCGCAGCCAGTAAAGTAGGGGAAGGGAGGGAGGAGGGAAGGGACAAGGATGGAGCACAAGAGAGGTTAGCAGGAGGAGGGGTAGGAGCAGGAAAACGAGCGGCAAAACCAAACGGGCGGGTCGGGCGGGAGAACCTTGACGGGCGCGAGAGCGCGATTTTGAACAAGGTGTGGGGAAGTATCAGGCGGGAGCCGTTGAATTCACATTTCTGAGGAATGATTATGGTTGATCCCCCTTCCCTGGTGCCCATTGCTTTTTCCCAACCACCCTGTGGTATTGGGTCTTCGTTTTGAACAGACGATGCCCCGCGTTCCTCCTCCTCTCCTCCTCCCCGTCCTCCCTCCTCCCTGCGTTTCACCCACCCAGTACAGCGTTTCGTGCACCATAGGGAGCTCCACCGAAGGCCCAAGTGGCAGGTTTCGCATGGCGGCCCCGCGGTTTGGTGCACCCCTCACACGGTTCGTGGCCCCATAGGGAGCTCCACCGAAGGCCCCAGTGACAGGGTTCGCATGGCGGCCCCGACCGGTTTCGGCGCACCCCTCACGGTTCGTGGCCCCATAGGGAGCTCCACCGAGGGTTCATATGGCTGCCCCGCCCCATTTTGGCGCACCCCTCACACGGTTCGTGGCCCCACAGGGAGCTCCACCGAAGGCCCCAGTGGCAGGGTTCGCATGGCGGCCCCGCCCCATTTCGGCGCACCCCTCACGGTTCGTGGCCCCATAGGGAGCTCCACCGAAGGCCCCAGTGGCAGGGTTCGCATGGCGGCCCCGCCCCATTTCGGCGCACCCCTCACACGGTTCGTGGCCCCATAGGGAGCTCCACGGAAGGCCCCAGTGGCAGGGTTCGCATGGCGGCCCCGCATTTTGGCGCACCCCTCACACGGTTCGTGGCCCCACAGGGAGCTCCACCGAAGGCCCAGTGGCAGGGTTCGCATGGCGGCCCTGCCCCATTTCGGCGCACCCCTCACACGGTTCGTGGCCCCACAGGGAGCTCCACCGAAGGCCCCAGTGGCAGGGTTCGCATGGCGGCCCCGCCCCATTTCGGCGCACCCCTCACACCGTTCGTGGCCCCAAAGGGAGTTCCACCGAAGATCCCAGTGGCAGGGTTCGCGTGGCGGCCCAGCGTTTTGGCGCACCCCTCACACGGTTCGTGGCCCCACAGGGAGCTCCACCGAAGGCCCCAGTGACAGGGTTCGCATGGCAGCCTCGCCCCATTTCGGCGCACCCCTCACACGGTTCGTGGCCCCATAGGGAGCTTCACCGAAGCCCCAGTGGCAGGGTTCGCAGGCGAGTGGCTGAATCGTGAGTCTTGCATGATGAAATGTCAGGTGCGAGCCGTTGAATTATAATTTCTGCATAAGAATTATCGTTGGCCCCCCCTTTGGTGCACCCGGTGGTTTTTCAAGTTACGTTCTCCTCCCGGGGCTCGCACCCGGCTGTTGTTTGGGAAAGCCTTTTTCCCAAAATTGCGCCCGTGGCCCCCGCTGCACAGCAGCAGCAACAACAACCACAACAGCCACAACCACAACAATAACAACAGCTGCTCCCGCCCGAGAATTCCTGGCAGCTGGTCTCCAGATCGCGCTTCCGCCCAGTGGACACCGCCACAGAGCGGGCGCCCGAGCGCCCCCTCTCCCGCCGCCCAGACGCGCGCACTGCGCCATGGACGACCTCGCGGAACCAAAGGCTCAGCTCCCCCCTTGGGCTACCTGCTGAAGCTTCTCAGAGAAGCCCTCGTCTTTCGTAGACGGCGACAATGACGCGCGGTGGGTGGGTAGATGCACACCGAGGCGCCTGGGAATTTCGGGTTGAGGGTTTAGCTCCCCCATGGCGCCAGCCGCAGCGTCCGCATAAGACGCCCGCGCTGACGAGGAGGCGCGGGCCCCCGGCGGCGGCCTCCCGACGGCGGGAGCTTGCTCCAGCCCACCCGACGCGCCGCCCGTCGTCGCGGCGCCTGCCTTCCCAGCAACGGCCCCGAAGGATTGACCCAGGCTGCCGGTCGCGCCGGTGCGACCCGCCCATGGGGGCGGAACCTATATGTTTTGATACGAAGCAGTGCCACCAGAACCTTTCGGATTGTACACTCACGGCTCCTACGGCCACCAGGAGCGCCCGCCCTCTTTGATACACAGGACGTGGAGGGATCTTCTTGGCAGCGGAGGTGGCCCCGCCGCGAGCGGCGCGGCAGCGGACTCCGCGCATGCGCCGGCGACGCTGGCGAGCAGCGCCGCGGGGGAGAGCTAAACGCGAGTATGAGCTTCGGCCTGCTCCGGGATGCCAGTTGGGCCCTGCCTTCACAGGGCGGGGCTAGCGTTCCAGAGCGCTCTGGAACGGCCGCGGCGCCCGACGCATCCTTCAGAACCGCCTGATATTCAAGATCCCCGGTTGATCCTGGTCCGATGTTGCCCGTGTTTTGTCTCTGTTTTCGCTCCAAGGCCAGCGAGACGCCTGCGGACGACGGCATGAGCACAACGAGGAACCGACCGCCCCCGCCGCGCCACCGCCTCGGTTGCGCCCTGCCGCGGCACTTCCGCGGCCAGCGGTCGCCCGTGCGACTCCATCGGAACCGGGCAACCGTATATCCACAGCGGGCGCCGTGTTGTGCACACCCTGCCTTGTCATCCTGCTTGTGCTCGCGCTGCCCGAGGCCATTTTCGAGGATGGCGGCGCGGGCGTCATCGGCACCAGCGGCAACACCAGCGCAGACGATCGTATCGTTGCCGGCGCGTGCTTGGGAGGCGGCTCCGTACAAGCTTCGGATGAAAGCGACGAAGATCGGAGATGGTGAGATCATGCGTGTCGTAGCTATCGCATGCTGGCAACCAGGTCTATGGTCCCCTAGGTCGGCTGCAAGGCGACCCAGTGCAGCCGGAGGTCGCAGTTTTAGAATTCACGTCCCTCGCTAACCCAGGCCACTGAATTGCAAATATGCGTCCTTCAGCAAGTCGACTCGCGCACAGGCGCATCCTCTCGTGTGTCAACTCTGTCATTGTCTGGTTTGTCTTCGATGCGGGTGTTCCCCGTGACCATCACGATGCAGAGGCCGCTGTGATGTTCCTGGGTCTACCCACCGCGCTCGCAGATGTTGTCGTGATGCGTTTGATATGTGCGGCGCTTTAGCTCTTCATGCCCGATGCGTATGTTCCGCCAATTTCCGCAATGTAACGTCGCTAAGAGATTTCAGTTCCCAACCATCCTGTGCAGTTGGGTCCTCGTTTTGAAGAGCGCCCCGCGTTCCCCGCTCACTGCTACTCCCCCTCCTCCCTCCTCCCATCATCTTCCCACTGCCCTCCATACGTCAATTTCGGCACACCCTTCACACGTTGCTTGGCCCCATAGGAAGCTCCGCCGAGTGCCTTCGTGCCGCAGTTCGCATGTGGGCCTCGCACCCCCCCCTCCGGCGCACTTCTCACGCTCTGCGTGAGCCCGCAGGACGCTCCACCGAAGGCCTGGCCTCAGAGGCACAGTTCGCGTGTGGGCGGTCACACCCTCCGAGGCTTTTCCTCCTCTCGGCCTCGCTCTGAGGCTCCGCCGCTTCCTCCCTCCTCTTCTCCGCCTAATTCAAGCTTCGCGCGGCCCGCTTAGCTTCGACCGGAAAAGGTGCGCTCTCGACCCGCGGATCAAAAAGTGGGCGTCACGCCCGTTTCGGCACGCCTCTCATACGTTCCGTGGCCCCGTGGGAAGCTCCACCGAGTGCCCCCGTGGCGCCGTTCGGCCTTTGGGCGTCGCACTTCCCTCGCGGCACGCCACAGGGGCCGCATGCGCTCCCGCGTCCATTTTCCGGCTCACCCATCATCACACGCCTTGTGGCCCCTCCTCCTCCTCCATCCTCCTCCTCCTCCTCCTCCATCCTCCTCCTCCTCCTCCGCCTCCTCCTCCTCCTCCTCCTCCATCCTCCTCCTCCTCTTCCTCCTCCTCCTCCTCCTCCTCCTCCTCCATCCTCCACCTCCTCCTCCTCCAGCCCCTAACCGAAAGGAGTACCCACACCACAGTACTCGCCAATGCATTTGGTTGGGCCTTTCGTCTGGATAATTTCTTTCTCACGCCCGTGAATACCATGCATAGTGTCTACCACTGCTGTTGGTGCTGCGCACCTTCCGTAGTATCGCCCGTGTACCTCTCCGCGCGAGGTTGCCAGTAAGTTTCCATGTCAATCACGCTTTAACTGATGCCAAAACGGTAGGTCCAACATATGAGGTCATAGTTGATTCCTTAGTCGCTTCATCATGCCTACGTGCACTAGTTTTCGGAGAGAACGCATACGCAGTATGACACGCAGGTGGAACTGAGAGTGCAAGTACGTATGTAGTTGTGCCAATGGCTGCATTCATGTGAGATCATACGTTAGTGAAGCGATGCGTGGACCGCTACGCATGTGTAGGCGTAACCGCAGGCACATGTGATAATATGCGTTTTTGAACACGGGCACGTGAACGTGTACACCTGAAGCGTCGCACATGCACATGCATTTCCATAACAGCAGTTGCACTGTTGCGTATTGCCGTTGCCGTATTGTCCAACATTGTGTGGGCCCAATGCGCCGTTGCCGTATTGCGTACTTTTGGAGTTGAGTGAAAAATAAGGAAACAAGGGGGAGTGATTCCCTTTCTTTCCTATCCATCCCTGATTCCTTTCCTGCCCCCCCAGTGAACACCCCGAGGAAACCACCAGTCACACGACTGGTTCCAACCGTTGCTGCGAGGACCTCGAGGACAGACGCTGCTTGGCTTGCGTCAACCGCATTTCCGTGGAGGAGACCCTTCCTCCCTGTGTGCGAGAGCGCTGCTTTCCCCAAGACGACTTGGTAGTTGTGAACAAGGGGGACAACTGGCGGGTAGGTCAGTGGGCAGATGTTACAAGTGTTGTGTCCCACCACCCGCATCATAGTTTCAGTGATCTGCATGCGCATGTGCGTGTGTACCAATTCCTCTCGTGGACAATAGTGCCTTCTGACCATTTATCGCAGCCTTTGTGTTTTGTTGGAAAAGCATGGCGATCGTGCTGCATGTCATGCACTTGATGGATTGCATCGGAGATGTCCGTCGTCGACACACTCCTATGTCATTGCCGCTCCGCTTGTCCCCCCCAGTCCATCCAGAAACGTTCGCCAGGCGACTTGCCCACATCAGGGAGGTGCAGGAGCACCCAGTGGAACAGAGGTGGGTCAGCCGTCAAGCCCAAGCTCGGAATCGAACTGAGCATATCGAGCAGTGCTGAGCATGTCGTCAAAGGAGGAGGAGGAGGAGGAGGACGACGACGACGACGACGACGACGACGACGAGGAGACGGGAGAGAAAGTGGCGAAAGAGGAAGGGGGAGGGAGGGAGGAGGATGAAGAGGGAGGTGGGAGGAGGAGAAGGAGGAAAACCAGTGTAAACCCAAGACGCATCAACGGTGTTGCAATACATCCTCCGTCCAAGTTCCCTCGTCATGGGTCCCTACGAAAATATATGCTCGCCCCCCCTGTCATCACACCTTTCGCCTCCTCTCGTACCCTCTTCCTCTGCATTCGCCTCCTCATCCTTCTCCCCGTTCTCCTCGTTCTCATCCTCCTCATCATCCTCCCAATTATCCATACGATTCCTCATTACATTTCGCCTCCTCATGTGCCTCATCCTCATCATTCCCATCAATATTCATCATTATATGTTTCCTCGTTCTCTCCATTCGCCTCCTCTCCTCACCTCCTCATCTTCGATGCGTTCCACCTCTTCCTGCTTCTGCCCCCCCCCCCCGCATCAGCGGAATCCTCTGGATGTGAGATCTGCTCCGTTTCTATGGCAATGTGATGAGAACCCGATCCAAAATCAATAGGAATCCCCTGGATATGGGATATGCTCTCTTCCTATTGGAAAATCATCAGGAACTTTATCAGATTCAATCGGAATTCCTTGGAGCTGGGACCTGTTCCGTTCATATAGAAAATCGATTCGAATCTGATTCAAATCCATTAGGAACCCTCTGGATATTGGATCTGCTCCGTTCCTAGTGCAATCCTATTATGGCCCTATCCAAATGAAACATGAATCATTTGGATATGGGATCTGCCCAGTTTCTATTGAAGTCCACTTACAACCACATCCAAACTCAATAGAAATTCTCTGGACCTGGGATCACTTCCATGTTCCTGTGCTTTAGGAAAAAAAACCTTGTTCAAATTCATTGGGAATCGTTTCCATTGAAACCCGAAGAGAATCCGAATCGGATTCCATAGGAATCCCTTTGATCTGGGATATGTTCCTTTCTGAAACCCGGCTCGCCCTCTTCCTTGTACATATGTTTTGGGGAGGGAAAGAAACAGAACGAGAGAGACAGAGAGTGTCGGGGACAGTTCCTCTCTATCCTTCCCCTCCTCCTCGCCCTCTTTTATTTAATAACGAGAGAGACAGGCAGACATACGGAGAGAGAGAGAGAGAGAGTCGGGGAGAGCTCATCTCTCTCTCTCTCTTTCCCCTCCCCCTCCTCATCTTCTTTTTTATTTAGAAAGAGGGAGAGAGAGGGAAAGCGAGAGAGAGAGAGAGACGCTCCAGGAAAGAGTCACGACCATCATCAGCATCATCATCATCATCATCATCATCATCATCATCATCGTTATCATCATCAGCATCATTACCAGCACCATCATCATCATCATCATCATCATCATCATCATCATCATCATCAGCATCGTCATCATGCTCATCTCCATCTTCATCCCCGTCATCAGCATAGTTGTCATCAACAGCATCGTCATAATGAATATCTGCATCATCATCAGCATCATCATCTGCATCATCATTATTATGTAGTATCAGTGGGACACGAATTCGAACATCATTGTTGTTATCAGTATCACCATCATAACCACCATCAGCATCATAAGCAACATGTCATAAACATCATCACCATCGTCAGCAGCATCGTCATCGTCATCAGCATCATCATAATCATTATCATCATCAGCATCATCATCAGCAGCATCATTACCAGCACCATCATCTTAATCAACATCACCGTCATCATCACCATCATCATCCTCATCTTCATCGTCCTCATCATCATCATCATCATCATCATCATCATCATCATCTTAAGAAGCCTCATCATCAGCAGCATCATGGTCATAAGAATCATCATCATTATCATCATCATCGCCATCATCATCATATTGATGTTCAGTCCGTCCCTCCTGGTTCCTTCCATCCCCTCTCCTATCTCGTCACGCCTTCCTCTTCCCTCTTTTCCTCCGTCATCCCTGCATATCATTCTGTTCCTGCTCCACCTCTTCCCCCGTCTCATCCTTATTCCTGCTCGCTCCCAACCTCCTCGCTCATCGCTCATCCTTCCCCCCTCTCCCTATTGTAGGATCCGCGCATATCACCTGTAGCTGCTGAGGAGAAGACAACCCCAAGCGGAGTACAGTCGACGAGAAAGAGGGCGGGTGTTGAGGGTACGCGACGCACGTGTTGGATGACACGCGAGCGAGCAAGATCGCACAGTTTAAGGCGATCGCTGATACTACTGCTGATGAATCTCCAGCTCCCGTCCTTACTCTGCTTCGGTTTCTCCGCCCACCTGAGCAGCATCCAGCGGCCGGTGCCCCTCCGCATTCAGCCAGAAGCAGAAGTTTGGGAGCGCTCTTCCTGTGTGATTGCTTGCCCCCCACACCCCAACCCAACCCAGCCTCGGGACATTCAGATTTGAAATCGGCCGATGTGTGATGCGCTAGCTTGATCACTCATCACCTCACTCCGGCCAGGCTTCCCTTCAGTATCACGTCGCTCAAGCTGCCTCCCGCACAGCCCCCCCCCATCGACCTCGATCCGTTCTGTCACCCCGTACACTCACAGGGCCCACGGCGGCAGCTGCATGAGACTTGCGATCACGCGGTGCGTTGTAACCTTCAATCACGTTCGGAGAGTACACGAGTTCTGCTCGGTCCTGCCATTGGCGAAGGAGCTCTGCGACATGTTCCCCAACAGGTACGGGTGCAGCAACCGCGGGGAGGCCTTCGGTCCCGCTTGCTTTGCCGCGTCAGGGCGAGGACGGGTGCCCGAGGTGCCCGCGGCTTGAACCGTGCGGTAGGTGTGCCGAGGTGGGCGGAGAACCGCATGCGAACGCAGCCGCTGGGGCCTTCGGTGGAGCTCCCCATGGGGCCACGCAACGTGTGAGGGGTGTGCCGAAATGGGAGGGGAACCGCATCCGAACGTACCCGCTGTGGCCTTTGGTGGAGCACCCTATGGGGCCACGGGTGCGCCGAAACGGGCGGGGAACAGTTTGCGCCCGCCGCCGTTGGGGCCTTCGGTGGAGCTCCATATGGGGGCACGAGACGTGTCATGATTGTGCCGACATGGGCGGGGAACTGCAGGCGAACGTAGCCGCTGGGGCCTTCGGTGGAGCTCCCCATGGCGCAACGAGCCGAAATGGACATGCGCTGGGCGGGGAGCCGCATGTGGCCGATGATAAGGGGGATGATGGTGCTGATGCTAAGGCTGACGCTTATGCTGATGCTGATGCTGATGCTGATGCTGATGCTGATGATGGAGAAGGTGGTTATTATGCTGATGATGATGCTGATGCTGATACTGATGATAGTGATGGCGATGGCGATGGTGATGGTGGTGATGATGATGATTGTGGTAGTGGCGATGGTGATGGTGATGGTGATGATGTTGATGATGGTGTTGATGATGATGATGGTGGTGATGTTCTTGATTTCTTGATGCTGATGATGATGCGGATGATGATGATGATGATAATGATGATGATGATGATGAAACTGATGAAACTGATGAAACTGATGATGAAACTGATGATGATCATGATGATGATGATGATGATGATGATGATGATGGTGACGGTGACGGTGATGGTGATGGTAAAGGTTTTTGGTTATTGGTTATTGGTGATGATGTTGACGATGACGATGGTGAGGATGATGATGCGTACGAGGTTGATGGTGAGGATGAGCATGAGGATGATGGTGCTGATGATAATGATGGTGGTGCTGGCGGCGGTGATGATGCGATGATGATGGTGACGGTGGTGATGGTGGTGACGATGATGAGGATGATGATGATCGTGGTGGTGATGGCGGAGAAGATGATGGCGATGGTGGTGATGGTTGTCGTGATTGTGATGGTGGTGGTGAATGTGGTGGCGACGGTAATAATGATGAGGATGATGATGATAGTGGTTGTGGTGGCTGTGCTGGTGATCATGATACTTGTGGTTGTGATTATGGTGATGATGATGATGGTGATGCTGATGATGATGATAATGACGATGATGATGACGATGTGGATAATGAGGATGATGATGATGATGATGATGATGATGATGATGTCGTCGATGTTGATGATGTTCATGACGTTGATTCATGATGATGGTGGTTGTGGGGGTGGTGATGATGTTCATGATGATGATGATGATGATGATGATGCTGTTGCTGTTGCTGTTGCTGTTGCTGATGCTGATGCTGATGCTGATGCTGATGCTGATGCTGATGCTGATGCTGTTGAGTGTGGTGGTGGTGGTGATTGTGATGCTGATGAATACAGTATTCGTATGGTGATGGCGATGGTGCTGCTGATGATAATAATAATAATGATAATAATAATAATGATGATGATGATGATGACGACGACGATGATGATGTGGACATGCGAAAGGCCGAGACAGGGATGAAGGATAGAGGCGAGGGAGGAGAAGGAGGAGGGCGGGAGGTGAGACGAGGTGACGCGGGGCGTTGAAGGGGGGCAGGGGGATCGGATCGGATCGGATCGGAAGTCCGCGCAAAGGCTCCGCAGGCGGCCACAGCTGGGAGCGTACAGCCGCACTCGAACGGCAGCAGGCCACAGGCCCGCACGCGGCGGGCAAAACGGACCACCAGAGCAACAAGTGTGAAGGGGCCCCAGGACACACAAATAAATACACACAAAGAAAACAATTCCCCATATTTTCCTGTATTTTCTTGGCTTGTGTCTTCACCCCCACTTCCCATATTTTCGTATATTTTCTGGGAATCGACGATTCATTGTGTCTGTGTGTTTTTTCCCTCCTGAAAGTGAGGCCTGCTCCCACGATCAAGCACGCGGAAGAGCCGATGGCAAACCCAGCCGGTGCAGAAGCCGACCCCAAAAGGCGAACCGGGCACAGGACCCGAATCAGAAGCGCCTACCAGAGCCCCTCCCAACGCGCTCCCAGGGCCCTCCCGGGGACGATGTGGGAACCCCTCCCAGGGCCCTCCCAGTGCTCTTCCCGAAGCCCTTCCCAGGGCTCCTCCAGGGCCACTGCAGGAACCCAAGGCCTTCCAAGAGGCCCCCAGGAAGCCCCCAGGAGGCCCCAAGAGTGCTCCAGGAGGCGCCCAAGAGGCCTCCTCCTCCTGCTCCTCCTCCTCCTCCTCCTCCTCCTCCTCCTCCTCCTCCTCCTCCTCCTCCTCCTCCTCCTCTTCCCCTCGCCCCCGCGCGGCCCCCAGGGATGGCCCGAAGAGACCTTCCCAGGGCTCTCCCAAGCCACCTCCCGAGGGCGCTCCCGCCGCCTTCCTGCGGCACTGCCGGGCCCTCCCAGGGCCGGCCCCTCCCAGGGCCCACCAGAGGCCCTCCCGGGCCCACTCACCCGAGACCCAAAGGCCATCCCAGGATTCCCCCAGGGCCTGGCCCTGGTGCATGCCGTGGCGGACTCTTTTCCGCCTGCAGGCTCTCTCCCCCCGCCGTAGGGTGCCTGGCTAAACATGGCGGACAGAGCGTGGAGCTCAAAAATTACCCTGTGACGTACCCAACCCATTTGTATCAATGGAAACGAGGAGTTGGCCGAAACTTGTATGGACAACCAACTTGATGTGCAAGCTACTTGGGAGGCGTCACTGTGCTGGGCCCCGCAAGCAGGCCTCGAAAGTGACGACAGTTTCACAGATCGCAACCCCCCAGGGATGGCGAGGTCTAATTTGAATTTGCGTGTGGCGTCACTGTGCTGGGCCCCCCAGCAGGCCTCGAAAGTGGCGACAGTTTCACAGATCGCAGCCCCCCAGGGATGGCGAGATCCCATTTGAGTCCGCCGTGGGTACCCACTGTGCTGGGCCCCCCAGCAGGCCTCCAAAGTGGCGACAGTTTCACAGATCGCAGCCCCCCAGGGATGGCGAGGTCAAATTTGAGTCCGCCGTGGGTACCCACTGTGCTGGGCCCCCCAGCAGGCCTCGAAAGTGGCGACAGTTTCGCATATCGCAGCCCCCCAGGGATGGCGAGGTCCAATTTGAGTCCGCCGTGTGTACCCACTGTACTGGGCCCCCCAGCAGGCCTCGAAAGTGGCAACAGTTTCACAGATCGCAGCCCCCCAGGGATGGCGAGGTCCCATTTGAATCCGCCTTGGGTGCAGATTGTGCTGGGCCCCCCAGCAGGCCTCGAAAGTGGCGACAGTTTCACAGATCGCAGCCCCCCAGGGATGGCGAGGTCCCATTTGAGTCCGCCGCGGGTGCAGACTCTGCTGGTATGGCGAAGTCCCATTTGAGTCCGCCGTGGGTACCCACTGCGCTGGGCCCCCGAGCAGCCCTCGAAAGTGGCGACGGTTTCACAGATCGCAGCCCCCCAGGGATGGCGAGGTCTAGTTTGAGTCCGCCGCGGGTGCAGACTGTGTTGGGCCCCCCAGCAGGCCTCGAAAGTGGCGACGGTTTCACAGATCGCAGCCCCCCAGGGATGGCGAGGTCCCATTTGAGTCCGCCGTGGGTACCCACTGTGCTGGGCCCCCCAGCAGCCCTCGAAAGTGGCGACAGTTTCGCAGATCGCAGCAACCCAGGGATGGCGAGGTCTAGTTTGGGTCCGCCGCGGGTGCAGACTGTGCTGGGCCCCCGAGCAGCCATCGAAAGTGGCGACAGTTTCGCAGATCGCAGCCCCCCAGGGATGGCGAGGTCTAGTTTGGGTCCGCCGCGGGTGCAGACTGGGCTGGGCTGGGGCCCCCAGCAGCCCTCGAAAGTGGCGACAGTTTCGCAGATCGCAGCCCCCCAGCCCCCAGGGATGGCGAGGTCTAATTTGGGTCCGCCGCGGGTGCAGACTGTGCTGGGCCCCCCAGCAGCCCTCGAAAGTGGCGACAGGTTCACAGATCGCAGCCCCCAGCAGCCCTCGAAACGCAGCGACGAGCCAGGTAAAAGGCAGAGGGGGGAAAGAGGGGCGGGAAGGAAGGAAAGAAGGAAGGTTCGCGCGAGCTGTGCTCTATTCAAAACGAGAACCCAACGCAGGAGGGTTGGGAAAAATTAGCCTGGCGAAGAACCCAACCATATGCAGTTGTCAGTACCGCAGCTGCGGGTGTCATCTTCAATGGAACTCCCCATAGGACTACGGAACGTGTGAGGGGTGTGCCGAGATGGGTGCCACTGGGGCATTCGGCGAAGCTCCCTATGGGGACATGAAACACGCGCGGGGCGTGCCGACATGGGTGGCGGAAACGCATGTGCGGGCCGCCACTGGGGCCTCCAGTGGAGCTCCCTATGGGTCCCCGAAACATGATGCTGCTGCGGGGGGGGGGGGGCCGGGATGGGTGGCGGAGACGCATGTAAGCGCCGCTACTGGGGCCTTCGGTGGAGCTCCCTATGGGGCCACGAAGCGCGTGAGGGGTGTACTGGGATGTGTGGCGGGGACGCATGTGAGCGCCGCCACTGGGGCCTTCGGTGCAGCTCTCTATGGGGCCACGAAACGTGTGAGGGGTGTGCCGAATTGGGTGCGGGTGGTGACGCATGCGGGCGGTGCCACTGGGGCCTTCGGTGGAGCTCCCTATGGGGCCACGAAACCTGTTGTTGTGAGGGGCGTGCCGGGATGGGTGGCGGGGACGCATGTGAGCGCGGCCGCTGGGGCCTTCGGTGGAGCTCCCTATGGGGCCACGAAACGTGTGAGGGGTGTGCCGAATTGGGTGTGTGTGTGTGGGTGACGCATGTGAGCGCCGCCACTGGGGCCTCCGGTGGATGATGGGGCCACGAAACCTGTCAGGGATGTGCCGAAATGGGTGTGCGGGACGCATGC